TTTTTAGAAGCAATGGAAGTCATCTACATTTCTCTCTGAAACTAAACTCTCTCTCCCAAACCCCGGGAGAAGTGAATATGATTTCCACACAACTAAGAAATTTAAGGCCCAGATTTAACACTCAAGCTAAGAAATGTTAATGCCCCAAAGAGCAAACATAAAGCTAGCCAAGAGTTGGTGAGTTCATAATGCAGATTACTTCATACATATTTGCATGGCAGAAAGGGCATAAAACTCTCACCAATAAAGGTCTAATTTGATAAAGGCCCAAGGTAGAAAATAACAATTAGAAAGTCACCTTTCTTCTACCTTTACATACATAGGTTATGCTTTCAATTTAAGGTAAATATAAATGTGTATTCTATGAATGTATTTGAATTCTGTAATGGAAAATTAACCTGGAGTCACACTGATCAGGTTATAAACCATGACACAATGACACATCCAATAAAAATCTAAAATAGCTCTGATACTGAAAACTGAAGAAAGGGAATATTTTATGAAATAGCAATGACTAACTGCACTGCCTGTGGGTTCTTTGAAAAACAAAGAAAAAAGTTGGACAGTTAATGAAAAAACAAGTTCATGACTTTCACAAACTATTAAAAAATAGAGTTCAAATATCTTCATTTTATTTTCCTAAACTTTGGATGAAATATAAGAGTAGTATTTTAGGTTATCCTTTAAATTTCATTTTTTGAAACCCCTCCAATCCCTTCTCTTTTAAGTAATTAGGTATAAGTGACGAGGAATCTGAGCAAACAAGTCTACTATTGATAGCTTTACCATGTCTCCTTGTATCTTTCTTTTAAAGTAGTAAATATACCTAGTATTAGATAATAGTCTAAGAAAGAATCATAAAAAATAACAGATAAAAATATAATATTGCTTATCAGAGACATTATCTAATTCGAATAGTTTTGTAATGAATGACAAATTGTGACAATGAGTGAAATAAATAAGCACATTTTATTTAACCTAAAATCTATTACCTTTATTTATCCTCTTTACTCTTAACAAGATGTACTCACTTAGCAAGAGTGCTTGTGCATGCCAATATTGTTTTTAAGCATCTTGTTTTTTACTTAGTTAAATTGCTAGTAAATTTTAAAAATTCTTTTGTCATAGAAGTTTGAGCAATTAGTTTTAGTACTATAGAACTATGTTGGGAACAGGTGCATAAGATTCTGAAGTCTTCTGGAGAATGATATTCAAGTCAAGGAGTGTTGTGCATAGAAAGGAAAATGGTATCAAAATCAGAGTGTATTTTTAGGTTTTTCCTTTTTCACTAACCTATTAATCTTTTGCTATTTTCAAGAAACAAGTCATATTGAGTAGTGAACCTGTTTTAGAGACAGCCATGTGGGATAAATGTCAATAACTTTAGGAAAAAGTAAGTTAATTTCTTGTAAGACAGGATTGCAAAAGAGGAAACAGCAAAAGAAATGGATCAAGAGTTATTCTGATTACTTAATATAAATATGGTTTGAATTTATAATTGTGGGGAAAATTTCAAGAAGATATTACAGTTAACAGACAGTGGAATTCCAGGAAAAGACAATTAAATGATTAAGAAAATGGAAGGTGAGTACAGTGGCACACACCAGTAAATTCCAGCAGCTCAGGAGGATTTCAAGTTGAAAGCCAGTCTCAGCAACTTAGTGAGGCCCTAAGCAACTTTGCAAGACCTTGTCTCTAAATAAAACATAAACAGGGCTAGGGATGTGACTTAGTGGTAAAAGGCCCTGGGTTCAATCCCTAGTACAGAAAAAAAAAAAAAAAAAAAAGATGGATAACAGAAGTTTACCACAACCAGAACAACTCAAAACAAGAGTCTTTAGCCTATGGCAAAAATCTCAGTAAAAAATTTATTTCAGGAAAATGATCATTAAATCTTAGACTCGAATCCCACCTCCATTATTTCTGACTTGTACAGTCTTGAGAAAATCCCTTAACTTTCATTTGCTTGTCTATCAAATGAAGTTAAAATCAGAACTGTCAGATTTCAAGGCCATGCTCTTTTTTATCCTCATCTCACCTTTCCCTTTATCTTCACCTGACTCATACTTCAGACTCCATGGTCCTACAATCATATCCCTGTACCATGGGCCCTCAAGTACCTCAAGTATGGCCTACAGCACTCCATCTCTCACCAGCCCCACAAGAGAGATCTGTCTCAAGTCTCTGAGTGATCTCTCTGGCTAGACCAACCACTCTGCCCAAAGTGTTCTGGCAAAACCCATGGCCAAACACCACTGGGAAATAAATCAGCTCCTTTTTTTAAAGCTCTTACCTTCTCCAAGAGTTTCTGAGGCATCTGCACTGCTGACTTTCCTCAGTGACACCTGCACTGCTGACTTTCCTCAGTGACACCTGCTTTCTTCCCATGACTTCCTAGACATGTTTCTTTCTTGGTCCTTCCATGGATGATCTAGTACTCCACACCCACATTTTTTAACTTTTAATTTTGTAACAACTAATGATCCATATGATTATAAGAAATAATACAGAGAGATCTCAAATAGTCTTCATCTCAGTGGCAACATCTTACATAATCACAGCATAATACCACAATCAGGAAACTGACACTGATATTAATCCACTCATATTATTCAATGTTTGCCAGTTTTACATACACCCATTTGTATGTTTGATTCTATGTAATTTGATCACTCATACAGATGCCACAATTACCTCAACAATCAACTCTCAACAATCCAAATTCTAGAGCTGGGTGCTTATCATTTGGGATGGGGGATGGTTAAGGAGGAAAGTCCTGACAATCCTCATAGACTCTAAAGTAGACTTTGCTACAAGCAGAGACATCCTCAAACAGGGATAAGTAAATTCCCATCTCCTTCCATGAGGGTCTCCTACTCTAGAAGAGTCTATAAGCTCTTTTCGAAGCCTGCCCATCGTGCCAAGGTTAGCTTAGGTCCCTCTCAATGGGAAGCTCCCATGGTGCCACTAGTCCAAAATTGAAATGATTCTTTCTGGATTTTTCTTGTCTCTCCAATCAGATGCAAAACTCTTTGAGGACACAAAATGAAACTTTTTTGAGGATTCCATGGGTCTGAGACATATGGATCTTTAATAACATAAAGCTGTTTGAATAACTAAGAAGGGGAAGGAGCAGAGAGAAAAAAACAAATAAACAAACAACAACAGCAACAACAACCCCCCCTCCAAACAGCAAAAAAACCCCAGAGAAACAAAAAGGGAAAGCAGAATTTGCCATACATAGAGGACTCTAAAAACTAGGATTTTAACTTCAACAACCAGGTTAAAAATAGTAATAATAACACAGCAAGCACTGGACAAAAGGCTTCAATCTTTCCTTCTCTTATTCACAAGATATATTTGGAACGATACTTACCTTCTTCAACAGTCAGCAGGTTCCCCAGTTCTGCTGATGAATGATACTGAACTGGCTCAGAGCTCTTCACGTTTGCCAGTGGCAGAAAGGGGTCATAATCCGTGGATGACAAGTCAGCCAGAGTCAGTGTATAGTGACTTTGTTGGGTATATGTGCTTGAGCCACAAACACAGCAGTGCAGAACCTGTGGAAAACAGATGGAATGGCACCAGGGTGTGGATGACATCATCTCCTGTCCCCTGATACTCATGATGTCCAATCACCATGGCTCTTAAGAGCTAAGACTCCTGTTTGGGAATAATTCAAAACATTGGGTCCTGCTGGGGTTGTGGCTCAGCAGTAGAGCACTTGCCTAGCATGCACAAAGCCCTGGGTTCAATCCTCAGCATCACATAAAAATAAATAAAATAAAGGTATTTTGTCCAACAGCTTAAAAAAAAATTTAAAAAAATTGGGTCTTTTTCATCCTTAAATATATTTTTGCTGTTAGCAAGACACTGATGTGTTCTTTCACATCAATTACAATAAATATATTCTCAAAGAAAAGTTAAAAAGTGATTATTTCACCATTCTCAGTGATTGCATATACCTAAGGCCTCCTCCATCCATCAAAGGAGACACAAGTAGAAGAAAATGAATCAGGAGGTGAAGGGTGGCTGGGAGATAAGTTATTTATGGTGGAGGGCAGAATGGGCTCAATGAGCAGAGCCTACTGGCCAATTCAAGACAGTTTTTAAGTTTAAATCAGCATGACTCATGATCCCATAAACAATTTTTAAAGTATAGTTTAGTAAAAGCAAATTTAACTAAGATTTTTGAAGTATTCTTATTTTTCACAAGACTAACTTCTTTAATTTAACGATTATACTTTTTCCTACCTTGCATAAACAGATTTTTGGCAAGCGAACACTGTGATTATTCCTATAATATAAATAATTCTTTTCTAAATTAAGTAACCATAGACCACATTCCATAAAAATTGGGGAATACTGATCAAAGAATAGCCTACTTAAAATTAAAGATGAGAGTCATAAAAATGAATGAATTTTTAACTTGGTAATCATTACTTCTCTAAAACTTTATCTTCCTCCTTTCAGATCTCAAGTTATTCTTTTTAAATATTTTAACTCGTCACGAGTCCTTTTTCAAAAGGGCATAGATAAATAAGTGCACAAAAGATATTTTGGTAGTTTTCTGACATGTAGGTCCATAGTCCATGTCTTGAGGCTCAAGTGAAGACTTACCCTATAGATATAATCCAGCAAGGGGGCCCGGGATGGGTGCTGCTCCTCCAGGACCACTGTGGACACAGGATGGAGAAGGGTATTCACTGGCAATGCCATGCACCAGTCCAAGAGGCAGAGGAGTAAGGATACAATAAACTGGAAGAAGAAATATTATGTTATGTTGCAGTCTTTTAAACATCACTATGTATAATAATATAAAAGAAAATTCTTTCTATATACAAATTATTGAACAGACATCCAAATTCTAGATAGATAAGTAAATATAAGACAGCGTTTTCATAAAAATGCATCTGTTAAAATCTGTTAATAATCTGTTAAAATCAATGCATGCAGATATTATAAAGGCTATAACTATTTATACTACATTTTTAATTCTGTCTTACATTTAAAAACAAACTCTAGAGAAAAGTTAGCTAATGTGCCACCTACCTTCTTATCTGTTTCCACTGAAGAGTACTCAGCACTTGGTAATAGGAAAGCAATTGTAGCCACAAGGATCTGCATAAAAGATAAGTGCCAAAAAGACCAACATAATAGTTTTAGAAGCCATATCTTAAAAGGTGACCTTGCAATGAAATCTAGCTTTATGCTAACTCACTGGAGGAAGGTGATATAAAGTCGAGGGTCAGTTGTGTGGTATGATCTTGAAAATTATGGGAAGGCAATGGGGGCATATCTGGTTTCCACATAATCTGTTGGTGGTGTAATTGAGGGCTCAAGGGAAAGGACTACCTCTCATTGCAGTCACATAATTTCTACCATCAGTTCTCTCACTTTTCATATTGAAATAAAAAAGGACTTAAGAGTAATTATGAAAATGTTTCTATTCAATTTCTTATAATTACCCCAGTCTGTACCTGCTGTCCTGCTGTCATAGCATCCCTTTAATTCACAAAAGTATTCCTGTTTAGGTGACAAACTATAGGGTTGCCCTAAAATCTAACTTTACATTTTACATCTTATATTACTATATCCAAAGCTCTATTTCACTGTAGATCACTTAAGGTAAAAAAAAAAAAATATTTGACTTCTGATGTGTTTCTGGGAGAACAAAGTGATCTTGCCAGTGAAATTTGTCTAGGGCTAAGAGAAAATAAATCAACCTCACTTCTTCTCTCACCCTACAATCCCTTATGGGGACAAATCAAATTTCTTCAAACAGTTACCCCTGGATGTGTAAGACAGAACATGTTTTAAAAGTGCAGCTATAAAAATTGGCAGGAATGGATGTGACTTGCTACCAGGTACTTATGAGTGAGGATACTTGCTCAGATATAAGCAAAGCATTCTTAGATGGAACTCATTTTAGGATGCTATGGTTGAAATTATTCTTCCTGATCCTTCTCCTCTCCAATCCCACCAACCAATGGAACAAGAGGGTATTACAGGGGTAATCTCATCACAGATGGGTAATCATGCTATGACAGAAAGCAGGGTCCAGGGCTTTGTCTTGGAGGAACTCCTACTTTATACAAAAGATACCTCCTCCACCCTGCACAGAGGGCATCATAATCAGCTGCTTACTCCTTGTTGGCACCATCCAAATTACTTGAGATGAATGAAGACCCAATCCATAAAAGGTCTCTTTGTTGTGGATGTATCTGCCTTTCAAACTCCCCAAGTATCAGTGTCTGCCCTGGAACACTGCTGGCTTCTTTCTGTAGTGCCTAGAATCATAGCTGAGAAGAACAAGTCCAGCTTGCTCTTATGAGACCCACATCGCAATTTAATGTTTGGTTCTCTAGTAATTATTTGAGAGTCTCTAATTAATCAGATATCAAATATACTAAAAAGGAAACGTGTATGTTTTAGCATTCAAGGAAAAGAACTTACTTCTGCCATTTTCCGAGGCAGAGAGGTTTCAAACATCTGAAGTTTTTCCCAGTAGGAAACCAGCAACTGAAGAATATCACAGGCTACCTGAGCCACAATTTTGTTAGGAAACTATAAAAGGAAACAAAATTCCAAAATAAATACATGACAGGTGTATTATCCTTAAGGAAGAATAAAACTTCTTCTCAGATTACAGTATATTTGTTTTGCATAAAATTGATGAAAACTATGATTAACAGAGAAGTCATACATGATCACACCACCATTCTAAAACTGGCTCTTGTTTAGCTTAACTATGTCAATTTATACAACTTTTGTATAGAAATAAATAGCTGCCATTTAATCACTTGAAATTGAAAAACTTTAGCTCACATAAACCATTTTTTTCCCAACTACAGGAAATTACATAATAGAGTATGTTGCTGAATGTCCCTTATCCACTGAACCTTTTTGTTTTCAGCATTTATTTTTTTATTGGTACATTTTAACTATATAGAACAGTTAGTTTCATTGCAGCATGATTGTACATACATAAAACATAATTTCATCAATTTCACTCCCCAATTCTCCCATTACTCTGATTTTACAAAAAGTTTACAAAATTACATATAAGAGGTTGTGAGAGGAATGGGAAAATAAACAAGGAGAGAAATGAACTACAGTAGATGGGGTAGAGAGAGAAGATGTGAGGGAAGGGGAGGGGGATAGTAGGGGATAGGAAAGGTAGCAGAATACAACAGTTACTAATAGGGCATTATGTAAAATTGTGGATGTGTAACTGACGTGATTCTGCAATCTGCATTTGGGGTAAAAATTGGGAGTTCATAACCCACTTCAATCTAATGTATGAAATATGATATGTCAAGAGCTTTGTAATGTTGTGAACAACCAATAAAAAAAATAAATAAAAATTTTAAAAAAGAGTGCATAAAAAAAATTTTAAAAAAAGTTTTTTTCACATCATTTTTTCCCATCTTTTAAAAATTTATTCTAATTTGTTATCTATGACAGTAGAATGCATTACAATTCATATTACACATATAGAGCTCAATTTTTCATATCTCTGGTTGTACACAAAGTAGAGTCACACCATTCGTGTTTTCATGCATGTACTTAGGGAATCCACTGAACCTTTTACAAGAATTTTACTCATTCTATTATTGATAAATCTTCATTGACAGCTCTGTAAGGTAGATGTTCTCTTCATTTTATACATAGAGACAAAGGGATTGATCAAATAAATTTCTATATTCTGAAATGAAACTTGGCCTATATGTTTAACATACTATAATCTGTAAAATTAGAGACTCTGAGAACGTAACTCTTGAGTTATGGCACACTCATTAACTTTGAATGCCACTCCTGAGTCTGGTGTGTGTCTCTACCACCACCATCTTCTAGATGCTTCCATTTCTTGTGAGATAGATGTCAAAGAGGCAGTATTTGAAAGACCTTACTTTACTATGCTAGGGGAACATAAAAGGGCACCCTGTCCTTTTCTCCCTAGCCAGAACCTGGGATTACAAGACTATCTGTCACTCATTAGCTAGAGCAGAAAAATTTGTCAGTGATCTGTCACTGGACTAGAAAAACTCACTCAAGTCACATGAAGTAGCCACCAACTGACATGTGCACAATACAAATAACACTGAAAGGTCAATGTTTAGTACCCCAGTGGCAAACACACAAGATGACAAAGAAGGTAAGGAAAAGATGATTAATTTTAATTCTACAGAATAAACAGTTATTGATAGGCACTACCTGAGAGGTGTGAGGTAGACCCATAGCTCTTCATAACCTTCCACAGCCATCTAGACCCAGATGACCTGATATCTACTAGCCTTCTTCCATTTCTCCAACACCCTGGCTTTTTTCTGCCCTTGCCGTTGTACCCACTCCTAGCTTTGCCTGAACACCCATACCCCAGTGGAGCTTGCACTGTTTCATCTTTCTGATTCTGGCAAAAAAAGTCATCTCCTGCAGGAGGCCACCACACTCATCCAAATGATTGGCAGCCTACCACTTCCAGCACTTCAGTTTCATCTCATCCTTGTTATATATCCTTCATGGCACTAGGGCTATCAGGACCTATCTGACATGTTGATTATTTTCCTACATATTATGAGTCACTATTTTATACCTAGCTTAGCATGGCTTCCTGAAGGATGTGCATGGTAAGCTTAAGAAAAGATACAATGCTGAGGGACTAGGAAAAAGTGAGTGGTTGCTAGCAAGTCTCTTAACTCAGGAAGCTAGAAATATACAAGAAGAAAATGGTGAGACCTGTAGCAGGCAAGACAAAAGGGCTTTGGGCAGAGAGAGGGGGAGACATGACAGGCAGAAAAAAGACTACGGAGGGGGAAAGAGCTGAGCTGTGCCTGGAAGAATGCAGATGCAGAGCCAGGGTTTCCTGTGTGGGGAGTATCAGGGCACAGGTAACTAAGGTAGGAAAGGACCTCAGGAAGAGTAGAAGCTACCATAAGGGTGGCAGTACTGACATATAAGAACGAAGTGGGGAATGGTGGAGATGAAACAAGTCATTCATTCACTCATCCAGCACACAGCAAAGGAAAACTGACAATGTGCCAATATGAATTAAAAGCAGAGAATTAAAGGAATAAGATGAAAAGGACAGGCAGATCCTACTTTAAAGAATTGACAGTGTCATGGGGCTGGCAGGGACCTGTCCTGGTTCTGTATGCCCTGCACAGTACCCTGTCCTAGTATCCTGGTCACACTATGTTGAAGGAGAAAGTCAATGATGCCTGGGAGAGCAGGTAGGGGAAAGAGCAGTAGGTGGGGCTGAGGACAGGTTGCTCAGAGAGGAAGGGATGAGCTGTTTGCTTGAGCCTTAGCCTATGCCTCTCTATTTCTTTATTTTTATTTTTTGTAGCTGTAAATGGACAGAATGCCTTTATTTATTTATTTTTATGTGGTGCTGAGGATTGAACCCAGTGCCTCACACATGCTAGACAAGTGCTCTGCCACTGAGCTACAGCCCCAACCCTGCCTCTCTATTTCTACAGTTCAGTCCTCCAAGGTGGAACATCCAGAGTTTCCACCACATACCAGACACTCATCTGCTGCCCCACCAAATGCAAACAAGTGGGGGAGTGAAATTCTTTGGACAGTAGCCCAACTAGGCTGAGCCCACTCACTGTGGCTGCAGACATGTTTACATTAACACCCCTTGGGGAAAACCTCCCCAGTTCATGGCTGGTTGTGCCCCTCCCACATCTGAGCACACTTGGGTCACTCTGTTGGCCGTTTCTGAAGGGCTCAGTTATAAGCAAGGCAATGCTGGAAACTATAAAGTCCTAGGAGCTTGTATTCTCTGCAGTATAAACCATCTGGGAGCAGGAAACCAAAACCATTGCTACTGTAGCCTCTTCATTTTTCTCCCTCCTGGCAGTCTCAGAGACTCCCTCAAGTCCTTTGACTCAAAGTGGTTGCTAGTTCCTTTGTTCTTTCTGGTAACTCTTTCCTTTGTAGTCCTCAGTTCTTCTTAGATTTATACACTATGTCCTTAAACAGGAATCAGATGGAAGTGTCCTCAGAGAACAGTACTTAAAGTCAATATGCTTAAGTCAATGGCTTAAATCAAGCTGGAACCAGTTCCTTTCTTCCTTGTGCTCCTTCTCTTTTACTCCTAAATAAAAGAGAGCATCTATCCAGAGTCGGGGAGGACTCAGTAGGACTGTGCTTAATGGTTGTCTAACAGAATAAGAACTCAGAACATTTAATTGCATTTTTTAGGGTACTTTATGTTTTTCCTATTAATTACAGAAGAACTGTAGAAACTTTGAAAAGTCACAAAAATGCAAAGAAGAAAATCCATTTATCCTTTTACTCTGTTATCTATTTCTTTCCCTCTTCTATACTATAAACTTATATACATACATATATATTCATATATGTATTTATGAATGACATTATTGACTTCTAAACAGTTTTTCCAGGTAAGGGATAGGAATGGGGGAAACACTTTGCATTAAATTTATATGTCTAAATTTAAGTAAAATTAAAATTTGAAAATTAGATCTTAGATTGAGATAAACATCTACCTTAAATAAGATATTTAAAAAATGAAATGGGACCTTACTGTTACTAATCACATGTAAATATTTCTTTGTGGCTTGGGGAATCATAAGTGATCTGCATTTGGTGTACAAAATCCTCACACACGTGGCTAGAGTATCCTGGGTTTGACCTGGAAAGTTCCTCAGGCTCCCAGTCAGTACATTTCTCCCATCTGTGAAGTACAGGTGGTTCACAGGATGGTTCTAAGAAATGAGTATGATGACAAAGGCCAGTGGCCAGCATCCTGTCCAGAGAGAACACTCACAATATGGTATTGTGGTTAAATAGTTTTCCATTCTTCATCACAGGAATCACAGCAAGAATTTTTCTACCTCCTATGATGTAACTGGCATCACTCACCACAGCAATTGTGGAGGAGAGACAGGGGAGGATAAGGTGATGGGGCAGTGTCAAAGGTACACTTGGGGAACAAGAAGCCCTGAGTTTGGTCAGCGGGGTCCAGATCATTGAGGGCCCAATGTCTAGCCAAGGATGGGGAATACAATTAGCTGATGAACTCAGGGGATATCACTGGTCTGATGATGACTGTTCATGTATCAGCTATTGATTGCTGTTGCTATTATAGCTACACGTGACAAACAGCAAAGAAGGGTGGGCAAGAAGGGCCTGGACATAGGTATCAGATGGATGGTTTATGACTTTAATTTTGACTCAGCTAGGGGGTCTCATACACTTAAATAAGTTCCTTAACTCTCTTGAATTTCAATTCTTCCAATGGTAAAATGGGGACATTCACCTTGCCACTAAGAACTACCACAAAGCTCTCAGCACAGTGTCTGGCAAGACAAGGTGCTCACTGGTTCTGAAAATATAATTATGGCAATGCTAACCTTACCAACATTTTAAAGTAAGAACCATGATAGCACAGGATTGAAGCTCTCGTTTAGGAAGCAACCTACCAGCATAATTAAAAGTTCAGTTATGTCTTTAATATCACACAGATCTACTTTCAATGCTGATTCCATCACTTTTACCTGAATAACCTTAGACTTAAAACCTAATTTCTCTGGGTCTTGATGTTCTCTGGTATAAAATGGTGAGTATAACATCTATCTTAAAGAGCTATCATAAATACTCATAAAAGCGTTTAGAAAATTTATCATTATTCTGATCTTGTTTGAGGGCCCAATAAATGATAACTCTTCTCATTAACAAAGCAAAGAAAGAAGTCCTATAAATACTGAAAGTTCAGCACGCACAATGATGTATTAACACTCAGTGCTCTAAACTGGAAGCTGTGGGAGTCTGTCTCAGTCATGTTGAAGAGTGTGGGACATGAAATCTCACTATCTTGTCACCCTCATCAACAGACAACAGCTGTCCTCCTTGTCCTAGGACCTGCCCAGCACGAGATGAACCTCATCTGGCCACCAGGCTATCAGAACAGACTATCAGTGGACTGATGGTAGCTGCCAATGGGGTAAGCAGCCATGGTGACCTCATAGCATACTGACAGGACTCTTAAAAAAGGGAATTCTGAATCATCTCCTTTTTTAACATAGGAGGCAACAAACAATTTCGATTTAAACTAAAATAAAAAATACTTAGGAGATAGTTTAATGTGAAATAAGTACCAAGAATTGGTAATACCTTCAAAGTTACACCTATCACATTGATGGCTTCTTTCACCTGAGGATGGCTGGTACACTGTGCAAGCTCTTCACAGATCCAGATCCCAAGTGAGCAAATGGCGATGCATCTTTTTAAAAAAGAAGGAAAAGAAGAAAAATGCTTATGAAATGATATATTTCCTTAATATTTTCAAATGAGAAAATATTTTAAATCTGTTTATTCAAGGCAGCAAAAATAAAAAAATACATTAACAGAACGTCTTCTTGAGAGAGTAGATAGGGAACTTCAAACAGATCAATTTTCAGGAAAAATAGAAACATTGATAATGATTAGTATTTAAATATTTTATGAAGTGAGTGGCATGTATTCTGTTAATTATCACAGCTCATGTATCACTTATTTTTATTAAAACTAATTTATTACATTTTATTATTTTGATAAAGTTTGGAGGAAAAGTAAAAAATACAAATCTTAGTAAATTATTGAAAACTGAATTTACAATTGTCTTCCTCATATGTACAATGTCTACTACTTACATAAGAAAAACTCTGTATTTTACTTTAAAATATTTTAATGCAACTTTCAAAATTAATTTTACTTTTTTTTTTTAAACACTGTGCTAGAACAAGATATTCTGCCAGGAAAACAGGATCATACCATACACATTTTGATTCTATTTATTGGGGGGGAGGTGTTTCTCAATTATTTATTTATTTATTTATTTATGACAGTAGAATGCATTACAATTCTTATTATACATATAAAACACAATTTTTCATATCTCTGGTTGTATACAAAGTATATTTACACCAATTCATGTCTTCATACATGTACTTTGGATAATAATGACCATAACATTCCACCATCATTTCAAATCTCATTCCCCTTCCCTTCTCCTCCAACCCCTCTGCCCTATCTAGAGTTCGTCTATTCCTCCCATGCTCGCTCTCCCTCTCCCACTATGAATCAGCCTTCTTATATCACAGAAAAAATTCAGCATTTGGTTTTTTGTCTATTTTTTAACTCTACAAAAATTTGGCTTTCTATGCTAAAGAAAAAAGGGGAGAAAAAAGAATTGCCAAGACTTGTTGATGGTGTAAATATGGTAGGTGTGGGAAAAATGAGAAATTAAAGATTTCTTACAAATTTCTGGGTTTAAAACCTGAGTAGATGGTGGTGCCATTTATTGAAATGATATCTAAGGGGCAGTCAGGCTTGTAGGGGAGGCAGAGATTTTGGAAGGCAGACTAAAGGAATTCAGTTATGGTTGTATTAAGTTTGGATATGTTAAAACATCCAAATTGAGATTTCAAGTAAGCAGTTTAATATGTAAGCCTAAGTATATAAGGGGTTTACTAAAGATCCAGGTAAATAAATTAGGATCGTAAGCAAGTAGATGGCATTTGAAGGTTGGTTAGAATAGTATACAAAGACTCATTTGCTCCCAGGAAGTCATGGAGAAAAAACAGGCCCAGTCCTAAACACTGATTCACTCTAATATTCAGAGATTAGGTAGAGAAGGAAAGGTCAACAGAGGAGATAGGAAAGGAGCAGTGGCAATGAAGTAGGGGCTAAATCAGGGAATTAAGTTCTAAGGAGCAGGAATTGTACAGGAAGAGAGTAAAGAGAAACTAACTTCAGAACTGGTACGAGACCTTGAAACTTACATAATAATCTCTAAAATAACTAAAAAAAGGTGTTTCTGGTTTCTTTAAGATAGAGAACTAAGTAGATTGTGAAAAAAAATCAAGAAAAGAAAAAAAAACAGGAGGCAGGAAATGACAGCAAGAAAGAGGAAATGAAAGAAATATTGAGAAAGCTCAACTAAAACAAAGTATTAAATAAGATGACAATACATCCAACAGATCAGTAATTATGAAGAATAGAAACAAACCAAAGTTTCAGTTAAAAGATAAAGATCAGATAGGTAAATTTATAAGATCCAGATATATATATATATATATATATATATAGTTTGAACAAAGGTATCTGAAAGAGAAAAATTCAGAAAGAAAAATTTAAAAGAACAGAAAGTATAAAATAGTTGTAAATATCAGATAAAGTAGTCTTTAATATAAAAAAAATCATCCTTAGAAATAAATAGGATTACTATATAAGTATGAGATTTGATTCACTATAAGAAAAGGGAAACTATAAACTTGTATGCAATTAATAACAAACTCAAAATATATAAAGCAAACGTGACAGAAATACAAGGAAAAACAAACAAATGTGATCATAATAGAAAAATTTAATATATATCTTTCAGTAAATGATCAAGTTGATGAAAAAACTCAGAAAGGATACAGAATATATGAAGCACTTGTTTTAAAATAATTAATATAATGGACACACCTAGAACACTATGTTCAACAGTCAGAGAACGATGTATACATTCTTTTCAACAATATATAAAACATATGAAAAAACTGATTATATAGTGGGTCATAGATCAAGTTTCAGCAATTTTAAAGACAAAGAGTAAAAAGATAAACAGAAATAACTATATGCTTGGGAATTAAGAAAAATACATCTAAAAACTTATGAATCAATAAAGAAACATAATGGAAAATAGAAAAAAAGTTCAAATAAAAAATATTACATATTAAAATGTATAGAATTCAGATATAGAAGCATCTAGATGGTCACAAACTGTTAGCAGCTTCAGATGCCTGGCAGAAGCAACCAAAATGTTTCCAGAACTGCCAAATGTCTTTTGGGGCACACAATCAGCAGCAGTTGAAAAATCACTACCCTATACATACATCATTTGAATAAACTGTTTCTCCTTTCATTTTCCTTCTTATGGAAAACATATATATATTTGTAATCGTACTTTTTCTTAGACAAGAGAGTATATATCTTACTATTTTCACTTAGTAATGACAACTTTTTAAATAATCAAGCAAAATTTTTCCTGACATGATTCTTACTGCACTTTAATGTGTGTAAAACAAATGTGAGAGAACGTGTTTTTTTAACCTTAACTGTTTACACATAAAAGTGTATCTTAAAATTCTAAAATAGTTTACCTCTTGTTCAACATTTACCTTGCACATTCATTTGGTTCTTCTGTGGCATTCTTCAGTAAAATATTTATGAGGTAATGCTAAAAACACAAAATTAAGTAAAATAAAAACTTTGTGTCATGGTTGGTTTCCCACATGTTCTGATCATGTTCCAGGCAACCAGGAGCTACTGAAGGACCAGGGAGCTGAGGAATCTTTTCCTTCAGGAGAGCCTGGAGAAGGAGGAACATTGGGCTTGTCTTTTCAGGGAGTGTTTCTAGATATCCAATGAAAGCCTCACAAAGCAATTAGACCTCCAGATAGGAAAATCTCCATTTTCTTTTACTTTAATTGGATTACACACTGTATATTGAATTATATATTGTAATTATGTATTATAGATTGATTGATTAATGCAGAGGATTTTTTTTTTTTTACTTTTTGCCTCAAAAGCTAGTTGAGGAGAGAACAAATGCTTACTTTTATTCTCTAAGAAATGATCTGAAATTTCAAATTATTAGTAGTATTTAATCAGGTCAACAATGGGATTGAGTATTTAGCTTATTTCAATTATTCTTTATAAATTCCTTTGATATACTAATGCAGCATAACTAATCTAATAAAATTACTACAAAGGATGATTCATTACATAATTATGATCCCTAGGCACAATAAACAGATCTAATAAAAAAATACCCAAGGAATATAAACTATTAGGTCTAATGGCAATATGCTCTGAATGTGATACATTTACAGCTCCTAAAACAGACTTCTGAAAATAACTACTGAAGCATTTAAAAGATTCAACAAAATTTCAGGAATAAGTAGATAGTATATAAGAACGGAAGATATAATCATATAGCTAAAACTACAATATGCTAAACTTGAGGTTAAATCAAAGACTCTGCGTACCTTGACATCTTCAGTTCCTGTAATGACCTCATTCACTTCCGGCACTGACTGTAGTAAAGGGATCTCCTGGTAGGTATTTGGAAAGCACACCAGGGAACCCAGGATGGTGAGAGCTTCTGCACGAGGTGCCTGCACACAAGGAATGAAACACATACGTTTCTTTTTGAAAGTTAGAAACTTTGGAGAGGCAATAATATGTTTTACTTCTCCATAATTTTGTGAGGGAACCTTAATCATAATAACTATTTTATCTTGACTACATAATATCATACTATGCCTGGTTATTTTCCTGGTGAATTTTTAAGCAAGAGAGATTTGCCTAAGTGCAAAAGCAAATTTCGAAGGAACAAAAAATATGACTATACTTGGATGTAAGTGTTGTGAAAACTGGTCTGTAGATTCATTCAGAATTAGGAAAACTATTCACTATTATTTTATACTATTTTAGAGTTAGTGTTCATAACAAAACAGAGTAAACAAAATCAACTTAATGTTATTTTTTTCTGTGAAGAACAATTAAGGAAAATTCTTAAGGAAGTTAGTTTGGAGGTAACTAAGAGAAGAAAGGAAGGATACTACCTACCAAAATTCTTATGGTTCTCCAGGAACTACTTTGTAAAATAACATAGTGAACTACTAAAACACTATATCTAGCAAGGCACTAGTTACTTATTTGTCCACTATTGGAAGAACGTACATATTGAAGAAGGCATTTCACTAGATTTCAATTTAATCAACACTAACTAGCAGCTGTCATTAGCCAAGAATAAAGGGTTCCATTTACAGTGCCCCCTGCTTCAGAATATAAGCTTTTACTACAGCAAGTGGAGAAAGGACACTCAGTTCTAATTCTGGCAGTGAGAGGAAGGGAAAATATGCTTCTGTTCCAGAAGTTCAGTGTGCTCAAGGATGTAAAGTATGACTTCAGGAGGAAGAGTGGAACCTGAATTAGAGGTCTGAAACCAGTGTAATCAACCTGGTGAAAAAGGTCAGCAGTGAGGGAAGCAGCAGAGTGGGTGCAAAGAGAGGTGAAGATTGCTCCCTATGGCTTGAAACCTGATTTCATATGGAGCCTGAAGGAAGCATGTAAAGTCACTTCTGTGCTCAGGGTTAAAGTGACAAGGTACTGTGGTGACATATATAGGCAGCAGGTAGGAGAAAAAAGAGGTTCTAAAGTAAGTTGGGCTGTGGTTGGGGGAATGAATTTGATGCATCCATGTGGCATCCAGAGGCAAGTGTACATGAGACAGATGGTGAAAGGGTCAGAAGCAGTGATCCTCAAAGTGTGCTCCAGCAGGGGCACACGAAATTTAAACAGGAAAAATCAAAGACTTCAAGGAAAAAGAACATGCAGAAATATTTGGCTACATACAGTTAAACAAGAGCCTTTAACATGTTAATGTACACTGATTTTCAAGTAAGGATGTATATTCCACAGAATTATCTGACCATAAACCTGTCCCTTTCTCCCCACTGCCCCCCAAGCATCTTGGGGGTTTAGTGTTCTGAAGATATTCTGAAAAGCTTATCTTGAGTTTAGAATTAAAGTTTGAAAGCCAATATGGGAACCTTTTCTGTTCAGAAGAACTAAATGAAAGCTAACTCTGAGAATGTGCAAGGGGGCGAGGGAATGATGTCAGGAGTCACAGCCTTGGAAGTGGGGAGACAAAATAGAACATTGTCAGTAGCCCACAGAAGTCCTCTCTGTGCCCCACCTCCATTCCCTTTCCAAAGTAACTCCTATTCTCCATAACATCACAGATTAGTTTCGTCTAGTTTTTGAACTTTATAATAATAAAATTAGAGTATATAGTCTTCTGTGTCTGACTTTTTTCCCCAGTATTATGCTACTATGCAACTGACCCTTGTTGTGGCATTATTGTATATAATATTCCATGTTACTCACACACTGTAATTTATTTGTTCTATTGTTGATGAACATTTGGATTGGCTTTAGATTTTTTGCTGTTACAAACTATGTTGCTGTGCACAAACTTCTACACAGTTTTTGATGACCTGTGTGTGCATTTCTGTTTCTCTTTCTCTCTCTCCTACTGCCTCTGTTGGGTAGATCTCTACAGCAAAGGTATTTCACACTTATAACTAACTTGTGTAAACTGAAAATTTTCACTGAGAAGGTACACTCCATCCAAATACCTCTCACCAGATCGCCTACAATATTAAACCTTGAGTTTAAATGACAAAGTAATTCAGAGTTGCTGTTCCTTTATATAAAACTACTCATTTGCATTCTTATTCTGTTTTTTAAAAACATTTTTGAAGGCTAGTTATTTATTCTTTGTTGATTCTTTTTCTCCAGCTTTGAAAGATAATAATTGTATATATTTAAGGTATACAATATGTTTTGATACACATATACATTGTAAAACAATGACCATAATCAAGCTAATTAATATATTCACCACCTCATATAGCTGTACTTTTTTTGTGATGGGAATATTTAAGATCAACTCTCAGCAAATTTAAAGTTTACAATATAGTATCATTAACAATATATTGTTAACATTATAATATAGACACCATGCTGCCCATTAGGCCTCAAGAACTTATTCATTCTGCATAACTAAAACTTTACACTCTTTAACTATCAACACACCTCCCATGACATTCCTCAGGACCTGACAACCACCATTATATCCTTTGCTCTGTGAATTTTACTTTTTTAGATTTCAGATGTAAGCTGAGATTATGCAGTATAATGTTTGTCTTTCTGTGACTAGCTTACTTAGCAGAGTGGCTTCCAAATTCCTCCATGTTGTTGAAAATGACAAGATTTCCTTCTTTTTAAATGCTGAATAGCATATATATATATATATATATATATATATATATATATATGTGTGTGTGTGTGTGTGTATATATATACACACACACACAAAATCATTCTGATTCAGACTGTGTAAATATGCTGAAATACACACACACACACACACACACACACACACACTTCACCCATTCATCCAATGATACACACTTAAGTCGTTTCCATAATTTGGCCATTTGTGAATAATGCTGCAATGAACATGAGAATGCAGATATCCCTTTGAAATACTAGTTTCATTTCCTTTGGATATATGCTCAGAAGTAGAATTTCTAGATCATAGTTCTATATTTAAGTAGTTGAGGAACTTTACTACTATTTTCCATAACGACTGTAGTCATTTATGTTCCCACTAACAGTGTACAAAAGTTCCCTTTCTTCCACATCCTCACCAACAGCTTGTTTGTCTTTTTGACAATAGCCATTCTACAAGTGTTTTTTTTTAATATTAATTTTTTTAGTTGTGGTCGGATACAATATCTTTATTTATTTTTATGTGGTGCTGAGAATCGAACTCAGGGCCTCGCACTTGCTAGGCGAGCGCTCTACCACTAAGCCACAACCCCAGCCCCCTAAAAGTGTTTTTTTAAAAAAAATTAATTTAATTTCATTTTTTTACATAAATGAAGTACAACTTTTCATTTCTCTAGTTGTACATGATGTAGAGTCACACCATTTGTGCAATTATACCCACACATAGGGGTTATAATGCCCATCTCATTTCTAACAGTGTTTTAAAATTGCATTTCCCTGAAAGTTAGTCATGCTAAATATTTTTTTCATATACCTGTTAGCCAAATGTTTGTCTGGAAGGCTATTTTAAAAAGTTCATCTGGCTAAAAGAAACATTTTCACAGAGAACGACCCCATTGTGTGACACTGTCTCTATGAAGGGTTCTAGCATTGTAGAACACTCTCCTATCAAATAATAAAAATTTCAACAAAGTACGACCTTTGGGTATAGTCCGAGAAGAGGAACAGCTGGGTCAAATGGTGGTTCCATTCCCAGTTTTCCAAGGAATCTCCATACTGCTTTCCAAATTGGCTGTACCAATTTGCAGTCCCACCAGCAGTGTATGAGTGTACCTTTTTCCCCACATCCTCGCCAGCACTTGTTGTTGTTTGTCTTCGTAATGGCTGCCACTCTTACTGGAGTGAGGTGGTATCTTAGAGTAGTTTTAATTTGCATTTCTCTGACTGCTAGAGATAATGAGCATTTTTTTGAATATTTTTTGATTGACTGTATATCCTCTTCTGAGAAGTGTCTGTTCAGGTCTTTGGTCCATTTATTTATTGGATTATTTGTTTTTTGGGTGCTTATCCTGTTGAGCTCTTTATATATCCTAGAGATTAGAGCTCTATCTGATGTGTGAGGGGTAAAAATTTGTTCCCAGGATGTATGCTCCCTATTCACCTCACAGATTATTTCTTTTGCTGAGAAAAAACTTTTTAGTTTGAATCCATTCCATTTGTTGATTCTTAGTTTTAATTCTTGTGCTACAGGCATCTTATTAAGGAAGTTAGGGCTTAGCCCCAAGTGATGGAAATTAGGGCCTACTTTTTCTTCTATTAGATGCAGAGTCTCTGGTTTAATCCCTAGATCCTTGATCCATTTTGAGTTAACTTTTATGCATGGTGAGAGTTAGGGATTCAATTTCATTTTGTTGCATACAGATTTCCAGTTTTCCCAGCACCATTTGTTGAAGATGTTATCTTTTCTCCATTGCATACTTTTGGCACCTTTGTCTAATATAATGTAATTGTAATTTTGTGGGTTAGTCTCTGTGTCCTCTATTCTGTACATTGGTCTACTAGCCTGTTTTGGTGCCAGTACCATGCTGTTTTTGTTACTATTGCTCTGTAGTATAGTTTAAGGACAATTCACAATAGCTAAACTGTGGAGCCAACCTAGATGTCCTTCAGTGGATGAATGGATTAAAAAATGTGGCATTTATACACAATGGAATATTACTCAGCAATAAAAAATAATAAGATCACGGCATTTGCAGGGAAATGGATGACATTAGAGAAGATTATGCTAAGTGAAGTAAGCCAATCCCCAAAAAACAAATGCCGAATGTCTTCTCTGATATAAGGAGGGTAACTCAAAATGGGATTGGGAGGGAGAGCAAGGGAGGAAGATTACCTCTAGATAGGGAATAGGGGTGGGAGGGCAAAGGAGGGAGAAGGGGAATATCATGGATCCTGAAAGGAGACTCTCATCCTTATACAAAATACATGTATAAAAATGTGAATTTGGTGTCAACAAACCTTATATATAATCAGAGACATGATAAATTATGGTATAATGGTATATTAAGAATTGTAATGCAAAAATAAATAAATAAATGAATTAATTAAAAACAATTTCAACAAAGTAGTATGATTTTCCTCTTTGTATCCTATAAATTTTTTCAACATTGTTTCAAGTCATTAAAAATAGGCTTGAAAGTTCTTTGAGATTATCCTAAAATATTTTGGGATAATCTTTTGAAATAGGTAAGTATGACTCTGAATAGATAATAGTTGTACAGAGGACAAATGGGAAAGCCATATTATTCACAAAAACAACTTTAATTGAATAAATTGAACATTTTCTCTTATTTCCCTTCCCTCATTCTTTTCTTTTGCTCTTGTCTCTTTTTGCTTTTCTTTGCTGTTTCACTTATCTTTATAAGAAAAAGCCTACAAAAACACCAGCATGAACTATCAGCCATACAAAGTATTAAATAAAACTAATTTAAAACCTGGGGCTCAGAGTTTGAATTTACTCTGCACAGAAAAAAAAGTAGAGTGAAAAGGTACCCATGTGTTAAACAAAATTTAGGGTGTTGGATACTCATACTAACTTCAATACAAATCCCTGGCAAATGGTAACGTTTATTTTATTTATAACATTTGAAGGGGAAAATGACTCTGAACAGATAATAATTGCACACAATATAAATGGGAAAGGTCCTTTAAATTCAAATGTGTAAGAGTATTCTCCAAAGGAATTAAGATGCTGCCTACATAGCGGAAGTAAATGTAAAGACTGAAAATAAATTCTTTTTGTAGCCTTTAATGCTCATTTAGTCTATTTGATTCCAATTTTTTAAAAAATATTTTTTAGTTGTTGATAGACCTCAATTTTATTTATTTACATGTGGTGCCAAGAATCAAATCCAGTGCCTCTCACGTGCCAGGAAAGTGTGCCACTGAGCCACAGCCACAGCCCCTTGATTCTAATTTCTTAGTATAAGAATTCTGCTAGAGTTTTCTGGCACAATAATAAAAAAATAGATATTTCTTTCTGGTAAAAAAAATTAGTATTATAATATTTTAAGAAAATATTTCTAGGGCTGAGGATATGGTAGAGTACAAGTTCAGCATGCATGAGGCCCTAGATTTACTCTTAATTTAAGACCACACACAAAAATTTTTGTTTCTATGAGAATAATAATAATGAAGACCTAACTAAAAAACAACAACACTGTACTGTTAATGTACACTTATAATTTTCTCTTTACTTTGGATAGTTATGTCTGTATCAGCATTTATCAGAAAATGCTAATAAGATTCTAAGAGAAAAATTCTGATTCTGACTGTGTAAATGTGCTGAAATATTAGTGAGGATATGATTTCTCACACTTTGGCCTTTTGATGAAACGCCTTTCCAATACCAGTGTGTCATCTTATCCTACAATTTCACACATCAGCTGCCAGGGTATCTACCCTGAGAGCCCAGTTTCACATTGCACTAATGAGTCAACACCTGTTACAAGTGGAGAAATCTGAACCTTGTTAGCGATTGAGAAGCCTCTTGGGAGCCTGGATGCTAAGCATTGTCATACTCACCGCCAACATGTCTGTACTAAGGACCCTTGCTGCAGCCGTGATAAAGTCTCCCACCAGCATTGAGAATCCAGGCAAACCCAGGGAGAAAAAGCGCGGTGGACAGTGCCTTATAATGGTATTTAAAATATCCTAAAAGGGAAGATAAGAAAACACTATTAATTATTATTTGCATTATTGGGGATTGAACCCAGGGGCACTCTACCACTGAACTACATCCCTGAACTCTATGTATCTTTCATTTTGAAACAATGTACCAATAAGTTGCTAGGGCTGGCCTCAAATTTGTGATCGTCTTGTCTCAGCCTCCCAAGTTGCTGGGATAACAGGCATGCACCACTAAGCCCAGTTATCACACTGTGATTTTTTTTTTTTTTTTTGTGGCGCTGGGGATTGAACCTAGGGATTGAACCTTATGCATGCAAGACAAGCACTCTACCACCTGAGCTATATCCCCAGCCCTATAAATATAATTTTTAAGAATAAAATTCCAAAGAAGTTTGTGTGTAAATATGACCTCTGCATATTAATCTAAAAGAATTTGGATGACAGAAATTTTTCAGTGGTGGGGTACCAAGAAATGAGATACTACAATGGTAACTGTACCTATTTTACAGGTAAGAGAATGAAGACACCAAACTGTAAGATCATCCAAAATCTAAACAGTGGCAATGAGACAAGACAGTTCTATATTCCACCTAAAGGTGACTCCTTGGACAAGCTTCAGGAGTGTTGAGGTATATATATATATCCTATCACTAAAGAAAATTATGTTCTGCTTTTAGCCTTCAATATTTAAAAGTTAAAGCATGCTATTTATATTAAGGGAAATTTTCACTTTCCAGGTAATTTTATACCCCAACAAACAGAAATGTATAGAGTGCCCAGGTAATGCTGTGATCACTGATGTACTAAGGTCAGAGAGTCAGTGTAGCTGTGAGGAAATGTGTGATTGCAAGGCACAAGTAGGCAGTGCAGCAGAAATCTTCTGTATTAAGAGCATTGTATGCCCCAGAAGCCTTGTATCCTGTGTCTCAATGGCTGTTATTGGTGGCTAGCCACCCCAACTCCCCAACTTCCAACTCTATTCTGAGGCAGTCACCTCAGTCCTGTCTGTGACAAATCAGAGATCCACCATTGGACAGCACTCATGCCATTATAGCTAGGCCATACCTCTGAAGCCATCAGTACAAGTCTGTATATAAGAGGGTAAGTTAGAAAACCATAAACTTTATCTATGCAGTTTTTGGCCAGGAACATTAATCAAACAACCAAAGTACTATAGGCATTGACTAATAGTTATATAATCTATAGTTAGTTCCAATATATGATTAAAAAAGCAAAATTAAAAAGTCTCCAGTTTCTGAGTTTTTAGCATGGCCATTGGAAAAATCCTTTAAAATAATTCTGATTTAATTGTATTAGAGCACAGTAGTAACAACATGCCAGATTCTAATACATTAACTTAAATCCCTCATAATACAAATAACCTCATTTGACAACTTACCTTCTTGAAACAGCATTTATATGTGTTCACAAACCATTTTTCCTTACATAGTAGCCTCATTTAATTTTTATAAATCATACTATTTGTATCATCAACATGACTGCACAAGTTTTATCTGTTAAAGCTTACAAATGGTAAACAGTTTATCAAATGCTAATTTAAAGTTTTGGCATTTTGGCAGAGTTTTTCCTGTGCTAAAAATAAACAAATATACATATAGGTAGATAAGAGGAAGGAAGGAAGGGAAGAAAAGTCTGAACCATGCTTCTTCTTAGTTAATGTTTAACCTGCTTTAATCACGCCCTGTGACACACTTTAGGGTTCCTATCAGCAAAGGCAAACATTCTAAGGGGACCAGCAGATGGGTGCTGCCGTTTAGAAAGTGTGTGGTAAACTCATGCTCCAGGAGTAGAACAAAAGATCCACCTTTTTCATAATTAAGACTCTGATTAATGCCCTGGGCTCCTCACCACACACCTGTAATTACTCACAGAGGTACGCATTGTGCTGGGCCTTGACTCAGAATATCAGACATCAAGCTATCCGGCAGCAGATGGAAGCACATTTCTGTTGACATATGCTGCTATGAAAGGATTCGTGCAAACCTGGCTAGCAAGGTAGCATAATGCCATGCATCTGAAGATTAATAATGCAAACAACCATGATGTTAACTTTGTTATGTTTGTTTTAATTCCATCTGTTGAGATGAGGAACTAAAACCCCAAAGCCTATGGGTTTTAAAAATCTTTAGCACATACTTAAATGAGCCATTTTTGCCACTGGAATTTAAAGTTTTAATTAAAAAATACTTTTCTGGGATAGGTTTATGGGAATTAGAAACTAAATCCTTTAATAAGCTAAAGCCAGAATTTATAAATGGAATCCATCTTGCTTCATAAGATTTGTATGTGTAAAGTCAATGATCTGTAAAATGGGGCATTCAGAAAAAATTACTAAGTTGCCATGATGCTAAAGACAGCAGATATGGATGCAGCTGAGATAAAGTCACCCAGCTCCCCCAGCCCCTGGACCTCAGCCAGTCACTTCAACAGAACCTGTTTCTATGGGCAAGAAGATCAGAAAGAGGACACAGTAACAGATGGCTAGCCTAACCTACTCTGCCACCCACGTAAGAGTGCGCCCCTAGGAGAAGCAGGGCCCATGCCACAGTCACCAAAGAGCACTGGGGTAGGGTTAATGTGGGGGTTAAAGAGGAAACTATATGAGAAGTCAGCCAAATTACAGCCACATGTCTGCTTCCTTTGCTTATCCACATTAACATGGAACAACTCAAAGATTCTACCTTTGTGACAACATTTTAAAATTAGGAATAACCATGTGGTACTCAAAAGAGAGCAGTTGCGAACAACAACAAATTTCTCCATTCACTTCTTTTTTTTTCCTAATATTTTTTAGTTATACATGGACACAATATTTTGTTTATTCATTTTTATGTGGTGCCAAGGATCGAACCTAGTGCCTCACATGTGCGAGGCAAGTACTCTGCCACTGAGCCACAACCTCAGCCTGCTCCATTCATTTCAAACTAATCATATAATCTAAAAGATTATTAAGATCATAGTTGTAATTGGAATCAATCTTCAGAAATATAAAATAAAAATCTTCAGACTTTGAAACTTTCTTTGCAGCCTCTGAGGCATTATATATGTAAGACAGACCCATACTTCCCACACATGAATCATTCATGTACAGCCCTCATGCATTTTGCCATATTCACCTCAAAGGCAAACATGATTTGCCTAATCAGTTTTCCCAGTGACTCATTTTTTTTAACTTAAATAAAATTATTCTGAAAAATTAGTATCATTTGTCTTAGAAAATATTCCCTTAAATAAATATAATGACAGTAAATCAATGATACTGAGTTTTTGCTAAATGTATCACTGACAGATAGTGATCTGACCAGTCTGAAGCAAGGGCCCTCCTTGTTTGAATCATTAAGATGGTGTAAAAATACTCCTCTACCTACTCCAGGTGGCCTACCTGAAAGCATCACAAGGAATGGCCAACACAAAGAAAAAGGCCATCATTCCCACTATGTTGTTCACTGCTATTTAGTGTTGCCCCAGATTTGACCATGACCAGGAAATGCCCCTGCACTCAAACTCTGCCCTGGTGAAAATAACTCAAAAACTGGGGCCATGAGGCCTGGGTTCCCAGACATGTGTGAAACTGTAGGCAAATCATATCATGCCTGGGATTCACATTTATCCTCCATAGAATGGGATGACTCAGTCTTAAAGACTAATATCTAACAGGATAGTAGATATGAACATATGGTTTTGTAAACTAGAAATAGTCATACAGAAGTAAATAGGGTTGTGAGTAAAATAAAAAAATCAAAAAGGGGAAGAACTCTAAGGATTTCACTATACAAATCTACTTTTATATATAAGTTCAGTTTGTACTATTCAGCAAAAATATTACTTTTTTGATCCTCACAAATTCAAGTAATATTTTAAAAACATTTCAAAGGTTGTACAAGCAAACCTCTTAGATCACACATTATCCCAGAAATTAAAAGGCTCCAGAAATTAGTGCCTTCAAACAATATTCTGAACAAGTCATTACAGCAATTATACATAGACTTTGTACTTTATAAGAAAAACAAGGAAACAAAAACACAGAAAAAGGATCTTTTTAAATTTTCCAGATTTCATTCTTTTGAGGAATTCTAGAACTTATCCCAAACAAGTAAGTATGGTAGCAAGAATTAGTTTCTTTTCCACTCTAAACAGACTCAAACAATAAAATAAAACAATAAGTTAGTTCAATGGTAAATGGAATATAAAACAGGAATTAAGTTTATCCTTTAATGTTGACCAGTCTGAAGCACAGACAAATTCTTGCATATGCTTTTTGTTCAAAGGAAATAGTCATGAAAAATATTGTAACATGGTGAAAAGGATACCAAACTAGTATTTTTCTCTTGTTTTGGTGAAAATTCCATGTGCACACTACATACTGAGAGTGAAAAGCTAGACTGTAAAATGATAATTGTGAATTTGTAGCTTATCAAAAGATACGGGTTTATGAGAAAGTGACTGGTGAGAACATCTGTCTCTTATCACTGATCTTGCAAAAAATCAGGTAATTCAAATAGAGGCGTGTTGTTTCCTATCCTCCAAAGCACAGTTCTATAAACACAAACCACATTCAGCCCAGTAAATGAATCGCTTTAATTGAATGCTATGTACACAGTAACTGGAAAAACCATAAGTGATAAGAAAAACATATGGTGATGGCAACAGAAATTGGTTTATTCATTTTGCATAGTGTTGTTTCTTTAGTTCTTTTATAATTGACCTTTAGAACGATAAATGTGTAAAATAATTTTGTTTATTATGGCTCCAAACCTTCCAACAATTACACAAAATGAAAATTTAAAAGGAAGGATTCATTCTGGAAGCATTTCCATTGTTTACATAATTGCACAGCTATAATTTAGTGCTCATGTTGTTATGGAAAATAAAAAAAGGGCCATTACGGGCCATTTCAATTCAAAATATTGCACAGTGGTGTCAAAAAATGGGGGAAAATGTTCACTTTAAAACAGTTTAAAATGGATTAGCCCTATAAATAAAAACATTTCAATATAGTATCC